AGTTTTATTTTGGTGGACAATGTTTTGAAGTCCATGCCATTTATCAGCATGTACTTTTTCCATGAACTTTTGGAAAGCCTTTTTCATATGCCTCGATGTCCAAGTTTTGTGGCCGGCATTGTAGTACAACCACTCGGGTGCCTGCCACCCCATATTGGGGTGCTGGTTTGAGCCCTGGCTCCCCCACTTCTGATCTAGCTTCCTGCTAATGCTTGCTGAGGAGCCGCTGCGTGATGGCTGAAGTGCCTGAGTTCCCGACACCCACATGGGAGACGAAGGTGGAGATCCTGGCTCCTGGCTTCAGGGCGGCTCAACCTGGGTTCTTGCTGGCATTTGGGGCGTGAACCAGCAGATGGAAGATTTCTCTCTCTCTCCCTCTTTCTCTCCTGTCTCCCTCACCTCACCCCCATTCTGCTTTTCAAATAGATGAAAGTAAATAGAACACTTTTTTAGACAGCAAAATTCTTTGCACAAAAATAAATACCTTTTTTCTTAGCTTTTTTTATTTATTCGAAAGGTAGAGAGAGCGCGTGGGCCATCATCTGCTGCCTCCTACGTGCATTAGCAGGAAGCTAGATCAGAAGCAGAGGTGGTACTCAATCCCAGGCACCCCAGTATGGCAGCAGGTGTCTGAAGCAATGGCTTAACCCACTGCGCCACAATGCCTGCCCAAAATAGACCTTTTAATTCTACTTTCTGCAAAGTTTTGATAAGTGAAAGTAGTTTTCTTTTCTTTCTTTCTTTTATTTGAAAGGTGGAGAGAGAGACAGAGGCAGAGAGAGACAGAGATAACCCCTATTTTCTGGTTCATTCCTCAGATGCCCACAACAGCTGGAGCTGGGGTAGACTGAAGCCAGGTTCCCAGAATTCCACCAGATGTCCTCGCTGATATCAAGCACCCATGTACCTGCTGCCTCCTGAGTGCACACAAGCAGGGAGCTGGACGTCAGTGTGGAGCTGGGACTCCAATCCAGGTGCTCCAAAGGGGGATGTCACTGTCCAAGTGGTGTCCTAACTGCTGCACCAAATGCCCATCTCTTCCACAGACTTACAAAAAGTGATCTACTTATTTAGAAGGTAGAATAACAGAGACATATGAGAGAGAGAGAGAGAGAGAGAATCTCCCATTTGCTGATTCATTCCCCCCCAGTGGCCAGAATAGTTGGGGCTGGTCCAGGCTGAAGTCAGGAACCAGGAACTCCATCCAGGTCTCCTATGTGGGTGGCAGGGACCCAAACACTTGGGCCATCATCTGCTCCCTCCCAGGTGCCTTAGCAAGGAGCTGGATCAGAAGTGGAGCAGCCAGGACTCGAACTGGTGCCATATGTGATGCCAACATTGCAGGTGGTGGGGTGACCTGCTGCACCCCGCAACACCATCCTCCATTCCTGAACTTTCTGAGGTAGCTTCTTACCATGCCAGAAACTCTCTCCACAGGACCTGCAGGTGAAAAAACTGGGTGGATTCACTGAAGCTTTCGGCATTCATTTACTGAGCCTCTACTCATATGCCAGGAACTAGGACAGGGATGAGAGGTAAAACAGCAACGACACCAGTTAGCCACCCACGGCCACTCAGCAGGGCCTGGCCACAAAACAGCCACATTCCTACACCCATGAACTGTCTTTTCTTTGCCTTAAAAAAATTATTTATTTGAGATGCAGAGAGATACATCCCCAACAGCCCTGGCAGGAGCAGGGGCAGGGAACCAGGAACTCAACCCAGGTCTCCCAGGCTGGGTGGCAGGGACCTAATTCCTGGAGCATCCGTGCTGCTTCCCAGCGTCTGTATCAGCAGGAGGCTAGAACAGGAGCCAGAGGTAGGTCTCGAACCCGGGCACTCTGGGGTGGGACAAGGGAGTCTTAGCTGCTACGCCACTCCGCTCACTGTCTTTTCAACCTGGCTCCAGAGTCTGTTTCTTTTCCAACCTGGCCTGCCCTCATAGACAGGATTCCTAGGTCCCTTTAAGTCACAAGGGCAGTATCTGTAAGTCTGCCCTGGGTAATAATGACACGTCCAGTTTCATTTAAATTCAGGTCTCTCCCTGCTGTGGCTCGGAAGCTTGAGGGGTGAACATGGTGGTCTCCTGTTCCCACCCTTCCTCCCCTCTGCCCTCACTAGCCAGGGTGACCAAGAAGGGGTGGGGGTGGGACCAGGATTAAGGAGCAGAAAGGACCACATTTGATTATTATATTTGATTATTTCAACCACGACCTGACACCGGGCTTCCAGAGCTAACTTCTCTTCCGGGTGCTTCTGCAGTTTTCTTGACAAAACACCTAGAATTTCTTCAGCAAACCTCCCAACGTAGCATTGCCAGATAAAGTACAGAAGGGTACAACCTAATTTTAAGTTCAGATGAAAAATGGCTTTTTAATAGCTCTACATCCCAAATATTGCTGTGACATACTTATCCTAAAGTTGTAGCCATCATAAATCTGAAATTCAAATTTAAATGGGCATCTTGAATTTTTAGTTATGAAATCTGGCCATCCTATCCCAACCTCGATTTGTATGATGAGGTTGGGGTGGGCGTATGGACAGGTGTCAGCAGCCCTCTAGCCTCTGGATTTCCAGTGCTTCCACCCTACTGGACCCTTTTGCCCTCCAGGCAGCCCTTTTGGGTAGGTGTCTCTCAAGGAGGCCCCCAGGGAGTCTCCTTACCTCCTGACCAACATCTGCCCCCCAAGAACCACACACCTCCACCCCACTGCCCTCTGGGGACCAGAGCTGCTCTGACTTCTCAGACGAGTCCAAACTTTCCCCTAACACTGCTGGCACCAGGAGAGCCCCCCAGCACCTTCTCACTTCCTTCAGGTGAGGGGGAGGCCTTGCTCCTCTCCGCCATGGACAGGCAATGGAGGTGGTGGAAACACGGCCCTCGGTGCCCTCTGCAAAGCAGCCGTCTGCGGGGCCGGCACTGTGTGATGCCGGCATCCCATATGAGCGCCAGTTCGAATCCCGCTACTCCACTTCCCATCCAGCTCCCTGCTAATGCGCCTGGGAAAGCAGCAGAAGATGATCCAAGTGCTTGGGCCACTGCTACCCACGTGGGAGACTCAGATGGAGTTCCATGCTAATGACTTCAGCCTGGCCCAGCCTTGGCTGTTGCAGCCATCTGGGGAGTCAACCAGCAGATGGAAAATCTCTCCATATCTCTGTCTCTGTCTCTGTCTCTGTCTCTGTCTCTCCTTTTCTCTGTAACTCTGTTTTCAAAAAAATACACAAATCCTAGGAAAGAATTTCAGATATTCTCCCTTCCTAAGAAGTCCAAAAGGGTTGCAAGAAGAGCCAGGGAAGATTTAGCTGGCTCTGGGTGCAGTCAGAAAGGGTCGCACAGAAGGGGAACCACTCCAGCGGGCCCCTGCCCAGAACTGCTCAAACCTAAAAGCACAGATGAAACTCCAGGGTCCCGTTAATAAGTGGGTCTGGGGTGGGGCCTGAGAGTCTGCACTTCCCGCAGCTCGTGCATGGTGTCCTCAGCTTCGCTGGGAGCAGAGAGGGGCCAGGTTGTGGAGGAGCTGCGGGGCCCTTGGGGGAGGTGAAGGAGGCGGGGCATCGAGGTCAAGGGCGCAGCAAGCGTGAACTGAATGCAGAGGACCAGTTCTGAGCAGGTCAACAGCGCCTTCAGGAGTGCAGTCTGTGTGTCAGAAAGGCTGAGAAAGGCCCAGCCACCCTGGTGCAGGGGGATGGCAGAGTTGAGGGGAAGTTCTCCAAGGGTCCTGGCTATGCCTATAAAAGCTAGAACAGGAGGCCGGCGCCGCGGCTCACTAGGCTAATCCTCCGCCTAGCGGCGCCGGCACACCGGGTTCTAGTCCCGGTCGGGGCGCCGGATTCTGTCCCGGTTGCCCCTCTTCCAGGCCAGCCCTCTGCTGTGGCCAGGGAGTGCAGTGGAGGATGGCCCAGGTGCTTGGGCCCTGCACCCCATGGGAGACCAGGAAAAGCACCTGGCTCCTGGCTCCTGCCATCGGATCAGCGCGGTGCGCCGGCCGCAGCGCGCCAGCCGCGGCGGCCATTGGAGGGTGAACCAACGGCAAAGGAAGACCTTTCTCTCTCTGTCTCTCTCTCTCACTGTCCACTCTGCCTGTCATAAAAAAAAAAAAAAAAAAAAAAGCTAGAACAGGAAAAGCAAGCTGAGTGGGTTCCATTTGTGTTGGAGCTTGTAAAAACGTTTTACACGCTGGCCTACATAATTGCATTTCACGAGGCCAGGTGCGCGTTCATTACTCGTTGCGTCTGATGGCTTGACCACAAAGCGCATGTGACAGATGCATTGAGGCTGACTCTGCATCGGGCGCAGCTGGCACTGGCTCACGTGACTGCGGCACCCAACATGCACTGGTGCTGTTTATCACCAAACAGAGGTTTACTGTCCCTGAACACCAGCTAGATGAGGGACAGCAAGTCACAGCCTACCCTGGGGGAGGCCGGATAGCAGTCCCCTAAAGACAGTCACTTCCTCACACCCAGAACCTGTGGCATATGTGTGACCTGTTGTGGCAAAGGGGACCTTGCAGATGTGATTTGCTGAACGGACTCTGAGATGGGGAGATCGTTCTGAGTTGTCCGAATGCAACTCACCTCGTCACACAAGAACTTAGGAGGCAAGAAAACTCCCCAGCTGCGGCCAGAGGCAGAGATGTGACAGCAGGAGAAAGGGCAACGGTGGCAGCAGGCCAAGGGGCCCTGCTGCTGGCTCTGGAATGTGAGGGGCTGTGAAAAGGACCAGGGGGGCTCTCTCTAGGAAGAGGCTAAGGGACAGGCAGCAAGGACATGGAGCTCCAGTCCCTTAACCCAATGGGATGGACGTCTGCCACTGACCAGAAACACCCCTCCCCCCAAGTAGAATGTCCGGAAGGCGATATAACCCTGAGGCCACGTGACCCGTGTCTGACCTGCAGATCCAGCTGATGGCCAATCGTTTGACATTGTTCAATCGGTTATGGCCAGCCGTGGGAAAACCAATGCCCTGCCCAGCATGACGTCCCCCTTCCTTGCAGGAGGAATTGTCCGCTGCCTTCTGCTGAAAGCCGCCTTGCCTGAGCCGTCACACCCAACGGTCCAATGCTCCCCAGAAACAGCTGCTGTTTTCTGAGAACAATGAGCTGCTTGTGAGCCTGAGAACAGGAAGAAAGCGCCACTTCGCAAGCAGCCGTGAGGCTACAGGCGGCGGGCATGGTTGCGGATGGCAGGTTGGTCTTTGAATATTTCTTTTCTGGCTCATTTGACTTTCTAACTTTGTAGTCCTTATGGGAGGAGGGCCGTCTGGACGTCGCATGTGGAGTTGCCACCTGCCTCCTGAAAGTCTCTGGGGCCACCTTCGTCAGACCCACGGAGCAGCCGGAGCTTGAGGGGACTTGGGAGTCAGGGCAATCCAGCCATCTCATTTTACATGGAAGGAGAGAAGAAAGAATGGAACTGAGGCCAACCCCCCTCCAGGGCCTGGCCAACAGGATCCCAAGGGATGGCATGACCTTGAAATTGAGAAAACAAGGAACGTTGAGCGCTACAGGAAACCAGGCCCAGTGGGCCAAGAGGGCATCCCTGCAGGCTAACAAAGCCATCAGCCGGGTCCCCACCAGCAGTCAGAGATTCAGGCACCCCAAGAGTTTAGCTGGCAGCAAAGGGGGCTGGGCTAGAACTGGCATGTCAGTCAGCTGTGTACACCCATCCAGGAGCGGGTGGGAGGGATTCTGGGACCAGACAACCAAGGTCAACAGAGCTGACTGGACTGCCAAATGGAACCCGTGACCTTGTGCCAAAGCAGTCATCAATTTCCATGAATCCTAAGCATGTGTTCCAAGTCACTAAAAGTGCATAATCTTTCTACACCTGCAGTTTGTCTCCGAAAGGTTAGTGTTGAAACAAACCAGGGAAGGTCATCCTGCTCGTTTTCTGAGTAACTGTGCAAATGCAACTCTTCACCCCCCCCCCCCCGCCCTTGCTCTCTAGCTTGTTTGCAAGCCAAAACATCAGAGCATTAGACAAACGCCTGCTATTTCCCCTCTTCTGGCTGACAGATGAAGTCTCACCAAGGGTATCCTCATCCAAGGGGGACTGATGGGTGGGGCACCTGGGTCCCCATAATGCCAGAGGGAAAAACAGTAGTGGTTGCTTGGGCTGTCAGACCCAGAAGCCTTGGCAATGGGGTTCGAGGGGCCACATAGGCCTTTCTGCCCCACCCTGCCTCTGAGCCCCTTTTAGGAGCCACCCTACTCCTAAAAGATTATCCTTGATAGCTGAACCCTGGATCACCTCCCCAAATGCTCACTGACCCTCTCCCCTCTGCTAAGCCCGGCAGTCGTGTGGGACGGGCTCCGCACCTTACCCCATGGTGCCGACATTGCCCCTGCCGCCGCACCCTCAGTTCTGTTGCAATCTTCCAGCCTATTGCAAGAACCTGCTTCTGCTATCCTCTGGCCTCTTCTTCCTTCCCTGGTCTATTTTTGTTGCTCACTGGCTCAGTAAATACAAGGATAATTCCAGACCAGACTAGCAGGCAGCCACGGCCGTGGGGCCAAGGCAGGATCCTGGCCTGGGAATAATGCACTCAGGGCCTCTGTCCAGTCTCTGCAGGGAATGGCACAGACGGCGTTCACCCTGGGTGACCGAGCACAAACACCTGCTCCCCGACTGGAGCCTGGAATGGCCCCCTTGCCTTCCTATCACTAGGGGGTCTCCTCAAGGCAAGTGCGGGCTGCTACATCTTCCCCAAAGTCCCCACCAGCCTCTGCAAAACTGGTTTCTGCTGCTCTGTGCTGATTAATGCCGAGGCGCTCTTTCTACTCTGTGAGACGCCTTTTCATGCCATGTGTTCAGAGAAAGGGCTCGGCCATCTGCAGTGGACCTGGGCGGAAACGCGGGGAAGTGACCGCGCGTTTATTTATGTCGTCCATTGTTAGCTAAGAATATCCAGGTGTCCTAATAATGGAGGTACCAAGAAAGGAAGAGGCGTTGGGTGATGGGGAGGGTGCTGGGCTCGGCTCGGGGTCAGCTGGGCGACCTTCAGTGGCTGCTTTTTCACTCCTGGCCTCGGTGTTCTGTCCTCTGGGAGGAAAGCCGTGAGCAGGCTCATGCTCGATCTGCAGACTGACAGCCGTGTAACGTCCTCTGAGCCCAAAGTTCATGGAAGATGCGTGTAATGAAAACACTTGTGCATGGGTTTCAATTTACTGATTTATTCATTTATTGGCACCTGAAAAACATCTCTTTTCATTCCACTTCCCACAAACTTTTTGAAGTACCTTTGCATGTGCATTGCAAATTCTCTCAGCCGGACAGATGAATCCACATCAAGGGATGGCACTGGCCCATGTCATCCACCTGCTAACACAGGGCCGCCAGCACAGCTCCACCCGAGTTTATCCAGAGCTGCTTCTGGGGGATCCTAGGACTGGCCGGAGAAGGCCTTCCCTACAGCCACATGTGTCAATCTTGTATTTAGGCCTCAGGCCCAACTTGAGCTAATTTTTGTGTATGACACCAGATAAAAGCAGGGTTCTTGTCCTTTGTATATGCATGCCTCATTGTGGATAAACTCCTTGTTTGGGAGGAAGATGGAGATAAGTGGAAGAAAGTTTCCTCCACCCACTGTAGGTACCAAGCCAAAGGACAAAATCCTTCCTCCTCCCACACTCAGGTTGCTTAGAACTTTGGGGAGACCCAGCCAGAGAACAAGGTCAGTGAGGGCTTATATGAGGTGGCCATGGAGTGCAGGGGCAAAGTGCTGGCTTCCCGAGTGGTCCCTGAGACAACCTTTCGCCTGTGCCTCACCTCCTTTGCATCCTAAGGCATGATTGTATGAATTACCCATGCACACGCACATACATTCCTCCTATGCTTAAGTTAGCCAACAATGGTTTCTATTTGCAACCAAATCCCTGGCTTCTAGAAGGCAGAATTCCAACCCAGGGGTCACTTCCTGAGAGGTCCATGTGCTTCTTGGTGCATGGTTAAGGCTCACGTGCATATAAGACACCATCAATACTGCAGGGTATTAGGTGGGACAGCATCTCAGGGAGACAAGTGGCAGGGTGGTGGCAACTGTGAAAGAAAGAAAGCCCCAACCATCGAGGTTAGATGCTGTAAATCTACAGACTCAGAGAGAGCGTTGAAAGGAGAAGCGCTACAGAAGCCAGGCAAGCGACAGTGTGGGGCATCCAGCTGCATAACAGGATTCTACCGCCTGTTTTCCAAAGGACAGATCCAGTTGTGATTTTAAAACAGGAAAAAAAATCCTATATGGTTGGTGGATGGTCAGAGTCACATGGAAAAACCTGGAGCTCCTTAAAAGTTATCTCACTCACACTCATTTCAGAGCTAAGGAGCCTGGCACCCACTTGGGTCAAAAGACTCATCACATCACAGGGCGAGGCAGTGACAGCCGGGTCGAGAGGGATGCTTGCTCGCCACCCAGGCACCTGCTGCATGGGAAGGGATGCCCAAATGGCCCAACAAGTCAGAGAGGAACTCCTCTCTCACAGTGGGAATGCAGACACTAGTTTGGTTGGGAAATGAGATTGCAGGATTACTCCACTCTCATTGTCTTTGTGAAGTCGCAGAGTCCTTCCCAAAACCACCCTCCTGAAATGCACCCACTCATTTCTCAACTGCTTTCCCAGGCCATAGCAGAGAGCTGGATGGGAAGTGGAACAGCCAGGACTCGAACCGGCACCCATACAGGACGCTGGCACTGCAGACGGCAGCCTTACCCACTCCACCACTGTGCCTGCCCTTACATTTATTATCAAAAAGAACAGAAGTGTGGGCATTGTGGTACGGCGAGTTAAACTGCCACTTGGGACACCCTCATCCCATATCAGAGTGCTGGTTCAAGTCCTGGCTACTCTGCTTCTGATCCAGCTTCCTGCTAATGTGTCTGGGAGGCAGCAAGTGAGAGTTCAAGTGCTTGGGCCCCTGATACCCATATGGGAGATCCAGGAGGATCTAGGCTCCTGACTTCGACATAGCACAACCTTGGCTATTGTAGGCTTTTGGAGAATGAACCAGCTAATGGAAGATCTCTCTTTTTCTCCCTCTCCCTCTTCCTGCCCCCCCCCCGCTTTGTGGGGGGTAGAGGGGTGGGGGGTGTGTGTGTCTCTCTTTCTGCCTCTCAAATAAATTTAAAAGTTTTCAAAAATAGAAATAATGTTTTTAAAATCTGATTTCCAGGGGCCAGTGCTGTGGCATAGTGGGTAAAGCTGCCACCTGCAGTGCTGCTATCTCATATGGGCACCAGTTTGAGACCTGCCTGGCTGCTCCACTTTCGATCCAGCTCTCTGGGGCCTGGGAAAGCAGTAGAAGATGGCCCAAGTCTTTGGGCCCCTGCACCTACATGGGAGACCCAGAAGAAGCTCCTGGCTCCTGGCTTTGGATGGGTGCAGCTCTGGTCATTGCGGCCATCTGGAGAGTGAACCAGCAGATGGAAGATCTCTTTCTCTCTCTCTCTCTCTCTGCCTCCACCTCTCTGTAACTCTACCTTTTAAATAAATAAATTTTTTAAAAAGTCTGATTTCCAGGGCATTACTCTCAAAAACTGTGGTGGATGGAGCTTGGAAATCTTTTTTTAATACAAGTTATATTTTTATTTTTTAAATATTTGCTTATTTGAAAGGCAGAGTGACAGAGAGGAGAGACAGAGACACAGACAGACATTGGTCAGGGCCGGCACCGTGGCACAGTAAGTTAATCCTCCGCCTGAGGCGCCAACATCCCATATAGGCGCCAGTTCTAGTCCTGGCTGCTCCACTTCTGATCCAGCTCTTGGCTATGGCCTGGGAAAGCAGTAGAAGATGGCCCAAGTCCTTGGGCCCCTGCACCCACGTGGGAGACCTGGGAGAAGCTCCTGGCTCCCAGCTTCGGATCAGCACAGCTCTGGCCATTGCAGCCATTTGGGGAGTGAACCAGTGGATGGAAGACCTTTCTCTGCCTCTCCTTTTCTCTCTGTGTAACTTTGACTTTCAAATAAATAAATAAAATCTTTTAAAAAAAGAAGCTATTGGGATGATTCTAACGTACAGCCAGAGTTGAGGACCCCCAGGTTGAGCCAGCCAGCACCCGGATAACACAGTGACTTGGGGGGTGGAGTTATGTTACATATCTTCTGCTAGGAATTATTCCATCAGGTTAGCTCCTAGGTGGCTGCAAAATTCAACAGAAGCCCTAAGCAGCCCGTCTCGTAGGACAGAAGTGGGTTGCTCAGGTGGGTACCTGTGGGTAGGTGGGTCCCTAGGGATTGGAGAGGAGTCAGAGAGAAAGAGAAAGCAGGCCAGGCACACCCATGCCGGCCCCAGAGGCCTCCCACGTCCCCGGAGCCAGCCCTGTCGGCTCCACGCGTGCTGGGCCCTCCACCACCGAGCAAGGACTTGTGACTTACGAACCCAAAGGCAATTAGGATATTTGTTTTAGTTGGAAGCTTCCAAGTTCTGTTTAAAAATAATTTTGGGCTTCTTCCCGAAACCAGGTTGGAGAGAAACATCTGGAATGAAACAAACCCACAGACCACTTGCATAGACCAAAAGAGAAAAGAAAAACACACCCACTGCAAATTAAGCTGTTTTCAACCACACTGGCAAAGATGTGAATGAGGAAAGGGGCGGTGGGGGGAGGCGTTTTAAATGACTCTGAGAGAGGGTGGGGAAAACCAGAGCGTGGCTAGGGCTGGGAGCAGCTTGCTCTCACATTTTGGAAAGAAAGTCATTTTGAGTCATTCTCAAAAAAGTAATTTCAAAGGGTACTCTAAATTATACGCCTGAGTCAACTCCGAGGAACGTCACACTAGATTGGTGTCTAAACCCCACTTCCCCCCAGACCTGGCTGAGCAGCCCGGACCTGCCCCCACTTGGGAAGGTTGCCCTCTCACAGGAAGGGAGTTTCTGTTCTCGGCAGCCGGGCCAGAGTCTGTGTGTGCTGTACTGAGTCACAAAGGGACAGACGGGGACTGAAGTTGTGGGACAGTGGGGTAAGGAGCCACTGTGAAGCCGGAAGACCCTATGAGCTCTGGTCCTAGGCCCAGCTGCTCCACTTCCAAGCCAGCTCCCTGCTAATGCACCTGGGAAAGCAGGAGAAGATGCCCCAAGTGCTTGAGCCCCTGCCACCCACATGGGAGACCCAGATAGAGTTCCTTTGTCCTGGCTTCAGCCTGGTCCAGCCCAAGCCATTATAGCCACTTGGGGAGTAAACCAGCGGATATAAGATATTCTCTCTCTCTTTCCCCCTTCCTCCCTCCCTCCTTTCTTCCCTCCCTCTCTGTCATTCTGCCTTTCAAATAAATCGAAAAGTAAAGAAGGGAGGGGAATAGAAAGGAAGGGGGAAGAGGGGAGGGAAGGGGAGGGAAAGTGGAAGGAAGGGGGAAGGGGGAGGGGAGGGGAGGGAAGGGGAGAGGGGAGGAGAATGGGAGGAGAGAGCAGGGGAGGGAGATAGATGTCTATAAGAACTCTTCCAAAAGGGCCAGTGAAGGACCTCCCAAAGCATCTGCTGCTGTTCTCTTTGCAAACCAGTGCATCTGGGAAGATATCTGTCTTGGGGAAGACAGGAGGAGGGAACTAAAATTGCTGAGACCCTGGGAGGTGCCCCATATCTTATATCTCTAATTCTTTTTATTTTACTCTCTTTATTTATTTAAGAGGTAGAAAGATAGAGATGGACAGAGAGAGGTTGCATGCACTGGTTCACTCCTCCAATGCCTATAACAGCTGGGCTGGGCCAGGGGCCAGAGCTATGAGCCAGGAACTCAATCCAGGCCTCCAACATGAGATTCGGGGATCCAATTACTTGAGCTATCATCACTGCATTGGCAAGAAAGCCTGCCTCTCTCTCTCTCCCTCCCTCTTTCTCTCTCTCTCATGCTCTGGGAAATCTGTATTGTCTTCATCGCACAGATAAGGAAGTTTGTTCATGGGGAGTCTGGGCTCTGGAATCAAGCAAATTTTCATCTACACACTGATTGCAACTTTAGGCAAGTGCCTTAACTCTCTGTGTCTCAGGTACCTACTCCTTAAAAGGGAGAGATCATGGTGATGGAGAAGATGGGGAAAACACACTGCATGCATTTTGTGGAGAAATAAGCAATCACGGAGCGTTAGGCACTGCTATTGTTGTTATGGTTACAAGTCAATAGCTTGCACAGATGAAGCGATTTGGCATTGAAAAAGTACCGAGGCTGGGATCTGCATGGCTGCATGAGTCCAGGTTCCATGCTCCTCATGACTCAACGCCGCCTTTCTAAGCTGAGGGTGGAAGACAGACAGACAGAGACACTGTCGTCTTCCTCCAAGGCATATCAAAGCATCTATGGTACGGGTCAGGCTGATGCTGCCTTTGAGCAGCAGGGTTTATTTTGTGACCTCATAGACACTGGGACTGGCTCCTTGCCACCTGCTAGAATGCATGCAGGGGAAGCCCAGGAGAATTCTACTAACTGGACAGTGGGCAGGACCGGAAGCTAGGAACAGGCTGGCAAGGGCTGGGGAAAGTGGGTTGCTGTGGGCCCTGGGGCAGAGAGGGCCACAAGGCTTGGGCACAGTGTCTGTGAGCTCCAGAGGCTAAGAGTTGAGTACTACATGGGGAACGTAGCCAGCAAGGCAGCCCGCAGGAGAAGTGCCCTGGTCTGCAGGCTGTGGCTGATCTGCAAGGAAACCTTGTCATGGGTCTGGCAGCCAAGGGTAGCCTGGATCTGTGGAGGGTGGGATCCAGGTCTTAGGGCCCCAGGAGAGGAGGGTTACCAGTGACTTACCCCTGGTCCTGGCAGTTCCCAGGCTGTCTTAAAGAGGATGTATGAGTAGGGTTTATGCAAGGATACTTAAAAAAAAACTCATGGGAAAAAAATAGAATTAAGCATAAATTTGTTTTGGTGCAAAAGTTTCAGAATCCATGCATAGCTTTTTTTCCTTTTTTAAAAATATTTATATATTTATTTGAGAGGCAGAACCACAGACAGAGAGATGGATAGACAGAAAAAGAGGCCCTTCATCCTCTGGCTCACTCCCCAAATGGCTGCAATTGCCAGAGTTGGGCTGATCAGAAGCCAGAAGCCAGAAGCCAGGAGTCTCCTTCGGGTCTCCCACATGGTCGCAGGGCCCCAAGCACCTGAGTCATCCTCCCCAGGCCATCAGCACAGAGCTGGATTGGAAGAGGAGCAGCCGGCACTCGAACCAGCACCCTCATGGGATGCTGGTGCTGCAGGCAGAGGCCCAACCCAATAAGCCACAGCGCTGGCCCCAGCTTTTTTCATAATACATATTTTTCCATGGGCTTTTTAAAAAATATTTTATTTATTTATTTGAAAAGTAGAGTTATAGATGGTGAGAAGGAGAGACAGAAAGGTCTTCCATCTGCTGGTTCACTTCCCAAATGGCCAAATTGGCTGGAACTGGGCTGATCTGAAGCCAGGAGCCAGGAGCTCTTTCCAGGTCTCCCTTGCGAGTGTAGAGGCCCAAGGACTTGGGCCATCTTCTACTGCTTTCCCAGGCCATAGCAGAGAGCTGGATTGGAAGAGGAGCAGCCGGGATTAGAACAGGTGCCTATATGGGATGCTGACACCGCAGGTAGAGGATTAACTTACTGCGCCACAGCACCAGCCCCTCTATGGGCTTTTTAAAAACAATTTATTTTATTTATTTGAAAGAATGAGACACACACACACACTACACACACACACACACACACACACACACATATGAGAGAGAATCTTCCATCCATCCATTGGCTCACTCCCCTGGTTGAGCCAGGCTATAGTCAGGAGCCAGAAGTGCTAATCAAGTCTTCCACATGGATGGCAGGAGTTCAAATACTTGAGCCATCATGTGCTGCTTCCCAGGTACATTAGCAGTGAGCTGGATTGGAAGTGGAGTAGCCAGAATTTGAATGGACACTCAGATCAAGATGCAGCCGTCCCAAAGGGTGGGGGCTTAACCTCCTTGCCATGATGCCTGTCTCTTTCCATGGACTTTTTGAAGCTTGTGTGTCTTCTCCCTACCCCCACCCCCTGCCTCGCAAAGGGATTCATGTCTTGGAAAGTTGGTTCCCAGTGTAGTGACATTTGGAGGTGGTAGGATCCTTATGAAGTGGAGCCTTAGAGGGGGGTAATTAGGTCATCAGAGCACTGTCCTTGAAAGAGATTAATGCTGGTCTCACAGACGGGGTCAGCTCTCTTGAGCATGGGTGTTATGGAGCAAGTTCAGCTATCTCAGCTCTCTTGCTGCTGTCTGTCTTGTCGCGTGGTCTCTTCTGCATGTACTTCTACCATGATCCCATGCTCCACGTGGCGATGCAGCTGGAAGGCCCTCACCAGAACTAAGCAGCTGCTGTTGCCATCTTCTTGGGCCTCCAAAACTGTGAGCTAAATAAACCTCTTTTCCACCTGGAGTACCCAGCCTCGGGTGTTTTGTTTTAGCAACACAAATTGGACTAACACAAGTACGATGTTAAAAAGAGCCCACATGCAAACAGGAGCCAGGCTCTGTTGTTGATGTGCTAGGTTCTTTGCAAATCCTATCCCAATTCTCAGTGGGTGGCTATTTTTGACCCACAGGTTATCAAGGAAGGAACTGAGGCTCACACAAGTCAAGTAATTTGCTCCACATCAGTGTTAGAGTGTTTAATAAGCTAAATAAAAGTCTGCTTATCATCCCCACAAAGCAGGACAGGAACACCTGAAAATTGCTCTTGAAATTATTGGAAATTTAATTTTTCAAAGAATGCACCAAATGAATCATCATTGGAAAACTCAGAACTTTGTTAGACTTCCTTACAATTATTTTTATATCCTAAGCAGAATGGAAAGGGTGGAAAAGAGACTTTCTCCTTTTTCTTCTCTCTTTTGTAGGGAGGTGGGGCACAAGGAAGAGTGGAGAGAGAGAAAGAAACTTTCTTGGAAGCCCACAGCAAGTTTCCTCCACCATCCCCTGCATTAGGATGGGCTCACACG